TATTATTTAAAGATCAAAAACATTTCAGTGAGCCCCTACTTTAGTCATGCAGGTAAGACCTCCTAATGGGCAATTCATTAAGATAAAACAATGTTAGCAGCTGTTAATCTGTTAAACCAGGCATCAAATTTTACATTTTGATGATTTTACAGGTACCATGAGATATATGTGTCTTTATATCACTATTTGCATTTCCAGTATTACTTTCCCATTTACAAATCACAACAACAAAAAGTCAGAGACCTAATAATTGAAACAGGAAGGCAAGTTCACAGGAACAGCCTAAGAAGAGCCTGGGCTATGAATTTCCCATCTTAGACAACTCTTCAAACACAACAATGCCTGGGGCCCAGAGAGAGTCTGAAGGAAAGGAGTAATTTTAATCGCACCACAGTCATAGTCATCAGGGTTCTGTCCATACTTTACACCTATTCATTCCTGTTTCATCTAGACATTCGTGAGCCTTATTTTTCTTATCCACATCCACTAATGAAGATATTGCAAGGTCAAACTATTTTTATTTTGTCACTCAGGCGTGCCACAGGACGAACCCATCTTTCATGGTCTTGCAAAAAGTCCCTAACCTGTCTTCATGCAACATGCAACAAAGAAAGTTTCCTTTCATCTGGCCACGCTGCCCCCAGCACTGGCCCCAAGGGCCCTCAGCCCTCCACAGAGCAAGGAGCAGGAGGTAAGCAAGGAACCCAGGCTGAGGACCTGGGGCCCTAGGGGGCGGGGGCAGGCGGAGAGTACTGGGAATCCTGGTGGGGCAGGAATGCTGGCAGAGGGAACATGGACTCTGGGGGCTGGAACTGACAGGGGCCAGGGGAAGGAGCAGAACAAGAGGCAAGCCTCCAGATCCAGGGGCATCTGCACCCAATTAAGCCTCTCGGTTTCCCAGACAAAATGCATGTCAAGGGCACAAAAGGTGCTTTATGACCTGACCTTTAGCCACGCCCATCTTCACTCTCCCATGATGACGCTCACATTCTACTCCCAGTAATGCTGGGCTGAAAAGTCACATTTCCTACTTCCGGCCTATTGCACCTGCTCAGCTGCTGCCTGGCATCCTCCTCCCTCTGCTTCCTCTGCTGTATACCCTTCAGGTATATAGCACATCACCTACTCAGGGAAACCTGCCTTGCCCCCCCAGATCAGCAGCTAAACCTGCTGATGTCCCCACGGTCCTGCGTTGTCCTCCCTACTAAAGACCATGGATGGTTGTTCATAGCTTTCCTGCCCCCACTGTGAGCTGCATTCAGGAAAAGCCCTGTCTCCCTGTGTCTGCAGGAGCACAGGCCTGCCGCAGTGCCAGAGGGCAGACTGTGTCCTAAGTGCTGACTTAGGAATGTCCTGTTAGGTCAGACTATCAGTTCCTATTAAAGCCTCCCAGAGAGAGAAAGAGAACACGTCTACACAGTCTTCTTTAACCTTGTGTTGCTAGCCACAGGATTCAGAGATACTGCTGTGAAAATAATTATTCTGAAGGAGAGGTGCAGTAATTTGGGGACAAAAGGAACAAATAAAGATGATTTCTATTTCAGATCTTTCTCCAGTGGTTTCCAGATATCATTTACCTCAGACTTTGCCTTGGAATGGAGCCAGCTAAGTAGGAGCATTAAAATTTTAGGACATCCTCCTGCAAAGAAACATAATTTGAGTCCAAAATTGCTGGTACTGTAGAATGAGCCACATTGTTAATTCTTGCATGTGGCTAAAACACACTGGTGTTAAAGTGAAGTAAAGCATCACATGAAGCTCCATTCGTTCAGTTCTCAAGATTTTCTTGCCCTACTTTGTCAAGAGTCTTACTAGCAATCAGAAACCAGAGGGCCATCACCTGTAGACCAGGCAAATGAGCGTCAGTGGCTTCATTAATGTTCTCAGTGACTCAGTACAGTCTGGACTGCACACAAGTATCACAAAGGATAATGCTTCTAAAAATTTAATTTACCTATGAACTTACAAAGGCCCCTGTTAAGTGCTCAGCTTGATTTAGCAGGTCTTCTGAGGTGCTTAAAATTCTACATTTTAGAAACACAAATCTTACATTTGGTAGTGCCAACTCTTCTGGTCTGTGGATCATGCTGTAAATAGCACATTTTAAAAATACAGATTATTGCACTCTCTCCAAATAAATATAATCGGAATCTCTGAAGAGGGTCTATCCAGTGTTTTAAATCCCCTTAACTCAAATATATAAAAAGGACTTAAGAATCTCTTTATGGAAAATACCTCACCTCACAGAGATAAAGATACAAACCCGTGTTTGTAAGAGTGAGCAATATTTATGAATTTCATTAATAATAAAAATATAAGTAATGAGTATCATTCAAAATATTTCTAGCATTTGGAAAAGTTTTTGGAGGCAGAAAGGTGAGAAGGGACATAGCTGAAAAGCTCTCCATCTGGGACATGGGACATTAAGGTTGGAAGGAAGGGAGCTACTTGCTCACCCTTTCCCCAACTTACCCAGCATGTCTCAGGGCAGCTCCATGACCCTGACCGAAGGCCCTGCTCCCCTTTATTCACTAACTACATGAGTAACAGCCTCTGCAATCCTTGCCTGAATCTGCAACATCCTTCTCACATCCCCCATTCCTCATACCCTTTGGCCTGAGGGACCCTGGATCCCACAGGACTCCAGATCCTGGAGGAACTCATTAAAGACAAAGCAATTACTCAGGACCTCTCTAGAGCAAAGTGACACTGGAACAGTAAGTGATTAGTCACCACTCACATTTTACTATACTCTGGGTCAAGGTGGGGATGAAGAGAAGCTCTCATGCAGATACTTAATAACTGCATGTTCATGAGTGGACAGGAAATAGTCCAAGCGGGACTGGAGTCGACATTTCGGGAAGTGTGGTTTGGGAAGGAGGATAGGTGGTGAATTCATAAAGCAAGCAAGGGTCAGATGGTGAATGTCCTTGAATACCTAAAATACTCATACGTCCCTAACCATCACTTCTCCCCATGAGCTAATATTCCAAATAAACTACTTGCAAAAAAGACTCTGTCTCAGTCTCTGCTTGTTGTCTCGGCTATGACAGAAAGTAGGGTTTCTAAATATTAGAGCCCAAAATGCAGGGGAAGGGAGGGCGCTAAAAAAATACATGAAAAACAAGTAAATTTTCACTCCAACTTTACTTTTTCAGATTCTTCCCAATAGTTCAAATACCATTTATTAGATACAGATCTCTCCTCCCCAGTTTCTTCACCATGTTCTCTATATACTTGAGTCTGTTTTTGTACTCTGTTTTATTAACCAGTCTATTCATGGACCTGTACTATATTCCACATGAATAAAAATGTACTCTTAATGTGTGTTAGTTTCAAAATATGTCTGCCATTTCTTTTATCTTTTCCTTCAAATATTGAAGCCTAACCCTTCTTTTAAAAAAAAAAAAAGATTTATTTATGCACACAAGAACTGGGGTACAGGCAGAGGTGTGTGGGGTAAGAGATTTCACCAGAGACAGAGTAGGGAGCAGAACAGGCAGATCTGCTGAAATACACTGCTGGGGAGGGGGAGCAGTGGGTGAGTCAGGAAAGGTCTGCTGGCTGGGGATCGAATTCATGCTGCAGTGGCTGCAGAGAGCTCCTTAGTGCTGCGCTTTAACTTGTTGCACCACCAGGGAGGGCCCTAATCTCCGTCTTCTAACTGTGATCCACACTTAAAGACTCTGAATAAGTAGATCATAATAGGTGTGGCACATAACTTCCAAACCTAGGTCATAAATAGGATAGCTAAAGGATACTGGGCTAACTGCCTATTGGGTAACTTGCTCCAAGCTACACGGCAAGAGGAGGCTCAAGCAAAATTCACATAGGAAGAAACTGAATTTTCCTGCCAACCACACAACCACCTTGAAGTGGGTCCTCCTAAGAAACCCTGAGCCAGAGTTACTGATTCAAATATAGAAATTGTGGCCCACTGAAATTATGAAAATAATAAATGCCTATTTTGTTACATATCATCTGTCAATGACAATAATTATTATATATGTCCATTCATTTTGTGCTAGCTTGCAGTGCTACGTCCTAATCCATTGCGCCACCAGGCAGGGCCCGTACGTCCATTGTTTTGTCTAATATACCTTCTGGCTGCAGAATAATAAATCCATAAATTCAGGATCTTTGTTACTTTGTTAACTTTTTGTCTTCATCACCTGTAAGAGTGCTTCACAGAGTATATGCTTCAAAAAAAATTGAAATAATTAAGTGAACTGTATGAACTAGCAGTTCCAGTACAATGCTTAGTAACAACACTTGACTTTGGGGGCCTTTCTTTTATTCCTGGACTTCGGAGAGAATGATTTTGTTTCCCCGTTAAATTTGATGTTGGCTTTGGAGATGACTCAAATGTATTATCATCTCATATTAAATATATATTTTTTTCAAAGATTTATTTATTTATGCATACAAGAGCTGCAGTACAGGCCAGAGGTGCAGGAGTGAGAGGTGAGGAGGGATGAGAGGACTCACCAGAGACAGGAGCAGAACAGGCAGACCAACTGAAATACACTGCTGAGGGGAGCAGCAGGCGAGGCAGGAGAGGTCTGCTGTGCCATATGAGCCAGCTCCCTAGCCTGAGATCTAACTCGTGCTGCAGTGGCCGCAGGTAGCTTCATAATGCTGTGACTAAACTCTGCATCACCAAAGAGATCCTACGTATATTCCCATTATAGTGAACATTTTTGTCTGAAATGGCTGTTGAATTTTAGCAATTGTGCAGAATTTATAAAAACAGTAAAATTCATGAGTGATTTGGTGATGGGAAACCAAAGGGGATTGCAACTGAGATGGAAAAATGCACAAAAATATGTAAAAATAAACTAATATAATAATAATTTTAAAAAGCAAAGTTATTTTTCAAAAACTTCCACTCTTAAAGGACTTAAATATTTTAATCTAACAAGTGAAACAGAAAAATGGCAGGTATAAAACCATAAAAACTGTAATTTAAACAGTAACAGAAAATGCTTTGTATTATTTAAACTTCCTTCAACACTATATTTCATTCCTTACATTAGTATAATATCTCATCTCAGCATCTACAATTTGAACAAATACATGAAATGTTTTTTGTTCAGAAATGGTTGCTGGTCTGACAGAAACACACTTGAAAATATTCTTCTTCCGGTCATAGTGTCCAACGCACCTATGAACTTGTCCTCTAATCAGTCTTGGAAGTTCACGATCCTAAAAAATATATATATAATGTTTTTATTACTTCATCTGAATTTCAATTTTTTTAATTAATATGATCGAGTAACTATGAATCACCCCAAAATTCCTCCATCTGATTTAGAGCCCCACTGCTGACAAGACCATGATAGCTAGGTATGTATGGCTACCCTGTCACAGAGGAAAGCTCTTCACTTGGGTATGGCTTCTTACATTTTAGTGAGTTGCTGCTTCTTAGAAACTGAGTAATTCCCAATGCAATGCCCTGGGAATTGTCCACTTATATTAGATGTCAGAGTTCCGCTTTCAGAAGACAGTACTCTCCAACTAAAAACTTAAATAGCTGGATAAAATATTTAGTTAAAAATCCCCTCATAGTATTAGCAAGACTGGTAGTGACATAGAGACCCCATCTGAGAGAAGACAGAAGTTCAGAATGGGGTGTCATATTTGGGGATGCTTTCCTTCTGAGGTATCTGCCAAGTATATGCAAGACTGTCTAATAAATTTAACAGAGCTTTTGACAGGCTCATAAGACTGTAAGGGAAAAAAGGAGTGTCAGGCCCCAAAGAAAAAGAGATCTTGATAACCACACCCACCCACCCCAGACTTAGTGTTGGGACCAAAAGGGTTATTATGCCTTATGGGAACTAATAAACCAAAAAAGACCAGTCACCTCCAAATCCTCTAAATCATGAAAAAAATTATTCTGCAACTGCTTTAGTTAAATGGTTATAAAAAAAAAACTAACTTTAAGGGGAAATATTGGTAATTATAAAAGGATTAAAGTGGAATTTCTGCTCCTCAAAAATTAAAACTTAAAAATTATACCCAAAGGAGTTTTTTTTAATCTGTAAATCAAATGATTCAATAGAAAAAAGAACAAGAAACCTACACAGATTTTCCATAAGACATTCAAATGGACAATAAATATTATAAGGAGCTCAGTCTCATTAGTCACAGGGAATTGCAGAGAAATGAAATAGAATTAAACATATCCACTAAAATGGCTAGAATATAAAATTCTGGACAGTACTAAATGTTGGTGTGAATACAGACACATTAAAACTCTCCATCATGATTATGTAAACTGGAAAATTCTGTGGCAACAATCACTGTATTAGAACATACATATATGCACTATAATTGAGCAATTTCACTTCTAATTACATGCCCAATAAAAATGCCTGCACATGTATAACAAAACACATTAATAGGAATTTTCAGAGTATTATTCCTAATAGCAAAAAAAAAAACTAAGGCCCCAGATATATTCATACAACAGAATATTGTACATATAAGTAAATGACCTACACCTACATGCAACAACATAGATGAATCTTATAAATATCCTGTTGACTGAAAGAACCCAGATTTAAAAGATGTACCATGTGATATATAAAGTTCAAAAGGCAAAATTACTTTTGGATAGTAAAAAATCAGAGTAGTAGTTACTTTTAGGTGGGCAACAAGAGAAGGCAAAAGGATGTCTGAGATGACAGTAATACTCTTTCTTAACCTTGGTAGTGTTTGCTCTGTGACTCACAAAGTGAAGTATGTTATATTTCAGTACTTTTTTAAATTTAACAGATTAGAGAAATAATAAACATTCAAGATATTGAGAAAATTATGAATATGACAACCATTATCCCTTTTCATCTACAGTGTCAGGTGCTGTCCATGTTTTATGACTTCATCCCCAAACAACCTATCAGATTGGAATTAGTCTACTCATTTTACAGATTAAAAAAAAAAGGAAAGAAAAAAGCTAAGTTCAGGAAGTTTTAAGTAGCTATTCAAAATCACAAAGCTAGAAAATGATGAAATAAAACTAAAATCCAATTCTGTTTTCAGAATTTAGGTCAATTTCAGAATTAAAGTATGTAAATTTTACAAGGTCTCCAGAATGCTTTATGACCGCTACCATTCTCTGTCACTCCAAAGCCTAGTTTTTTTCCCTATAAGCCTTTTCCTTCCCACAAGATCAGAATCACAACCCTTACCCTGCCCCCTAGTCACTTACTACTTCTATTTTCTCATAATTATAAACTACTTGCAGTTTCCTGAACAATCCAAGCACTGTCTTAGCACATATATTGTTCCCTCAGCTTAGAATACATTCCTCCCTAACTCTTCCCACTCTCAACGTACTTTGGCTTAATTTGTAAGTCCTTAAATGTCTAAGATAGGGTTACTTCTACAATACCTCTATCACTCCACAGTGTAACATTTCTATACCTGTCTTTCTACCTGTGGTTATAAAATCCTTAAGTTATTTATCCTTACACTTTACATTTATACTTTATATCCCCATGTAACACAGCACCTGGCACATGACAGACTTTTCAAACAACTTTGACATCAAAACTAAAACCAAATAAAATTCTGAAAGTAGGACTGAGTTGTTAATAGCATTTCTATTGCAATGGAATTATAGCCCATATTTATGTGGTCTGTTGGCATAGGCTTTCTAAAGCATGCTTTAACTAAGGTCCTCCCTAATGGCGCAGCAGGTCAAAGTGCAGCAGGTTAAAGCACAGCACTGCAAGGTGGCCGTAGCAGTTTCAGTGCAAGTTCGATCCCCACTCCAGAGGTGATCCACAGGGCACAGCAGACCTCTCCTAACCATCCCACTGCTCCCCTCAGCAGTATACTTCAGCCTGTTCTGCTCCCCATTGTCTCTGGTGAAGCATCCTACTCCCTGCACCTCTGGCCTATTCTCCAATTCTGTATGCATAAATAAATAAATCTTTAAACAAAATAAAAAAAGAAGGCTTTAACTAATACTCACTATTTCATAAAATACACAAGGCAGAGTATTTTTCCCATCTCTCAGAAGAAAACTCTTCGAATAATTTGGGCCAGGTGTAACAGCTGAATCAAGAACAGCTAAGAAACATTGAAAAGGTAGGAGAAATCATTTTTCTTTTTAATTTATAGCAAATGCAACTAAAATTTAACAGCAGTTGACAATTAAATAGTTATTCCCACATCAATTTCTCATAGTTCTTTTCCTGCTACAATAAGGAAGGTATTCTCTTTTCCTACAAGAAGGAAGATATACAAAGAAGGAAAGAAAGATGATTTATACTAAAGAAAATATTTCTGGCCCTCTCTAATTTAGAAATAGATTACCCAGTCAGTAGTGATGATATGAAGGATCATTTGCCAGTTTCTAGGAAAGAAGAACTAAAAGAACTATCTAAAAATGTGAAAACCTGGTATAAATATATATGGTACAGAGAACCTTGATAATCATCTTAATATTACAAAGGCAGACTAGAAGCTAATATAGAGGCCTTAGAGATTTAAAATGAAGTCAGCACTGTGATAGGACAGAAAAATGGCTAAATCTCAAAAAATAATACTGAATGAAAGTGCAAGCTGTATATTTTAAAACATAAAGCAGTAAAAGAACTACTTTATACTATATGTATATTTACATACAATGTGAATTAAAAGTATGGCCAGTAAAGATACCACAGTGATTTTTCTCTAGTGAATAAAAATGAGTGAGGATTTCAAATGTATCTATTACATGTGTATATGGACACTTATTATATTCTATTTTCTGTACATTTAGGATATTTCATAATTTACATGCTATTTTATTTAACTATGAAAATAAATATATTTTAAATCTCTGTTTCTTACTTGTTTATCTCCTCACTCTAAATAATCAAATTCCAAAAACATCTATAAAGGAGACTTGGATTCTCGACCAATTTGTGTTGCTAACTAGCTTCATGATTTTAGACCTTTATTTGTCACATTTCCTCACCTACTTCAAGAGTTGAGTTAGTTACCTGTAAGAATATTAGCAGGTTTAATATTATGACTCAGAAGATACTATCATAAATATCCAATTACCTTTTAAGTCACAAAATCAACAACTAAAGAACTAAAGAAAATCTTAATAAACCATAAACTCCTTTAGTAAATAATTTTCCACTAATATTTCTTCTCAGTACTAACATTTAAAAATATTGTCCATTTTTTAAATATTCATATATGTTTACATATTTTAAATCATTGTTCATTTTTGTACATTGTTTGGCTTCTCTCTAGTGTAGTTCCCATAAATAATAATAAATACTAAATAAAACTACTGAACTACTAAAGTATTTTTGAAACATTACACCTACCTAGTATTTCAAAAAGAAGTACAGCTTTCTGTGCATGTTCATGCCAGTACTTCATGCTTTCAATAACTGCAGATATAATTCTTAAAGAATTATCCTTTTCCTTAAATTTTAACTGATACGATGAGGTTTCCTTTTGAAAAAATTAAAACAAAGTATTAAAATCTTTCATTTTTCATCATATTCTTTCACTTCCTATGTAAACAGTGTAGGTTCTTTTAATAGGTGAATATATACTAAAAGAACTAAAATTTTAGTCCAGTTACTTCCATAATTAAAGGCATGATTAGCACTTTACTGGAGGAGAAATTAGTATGTACTTGAAGACAATCAAGAAGAAAATTATTTATATGGGTATCTATTCACTTCTTCAGTTATTTGTTGAATATTTTAAGAGATTCATGGGCCAACCCTATGACAAACACAGATTAATAAAATACAGTTCTTTTCCGTAATGTGCTCACCCTCTAGGAGTGGAGCCAGACACATTCATTCATTCATTCCAAAAATAATATTGGCACCTACTACATGTTAAATATAGCTACACAGGAAACAACAGTGAACAAAAGAGACAAGATACATACTCTCAATGATTTTCCACACTAATGGGGGATTCAAAAATAAGCAAATAAATATATAGTAAAATATCAGGAATTGATAAAAATCTATGTGTTAAAAAAATAGGTTGTTGAATGAGAAACAAGGAAGTAGGAAATGTAAAGGCCCTAAGTGGGCATTTTTACATATACTAAAATACTAATTTTCGGAGAAGGGTACTTCGTAGTTTAACAGTGGAAAGTACATGTCAAAGAACATTTAAGGGGACATTTTTCCCCTAACAATAATTGACTGCCCTTCTCTTCCCTTCCCTTCCTAATGCAAATGCTCCTATTGAGGACTTCTCCCATGAGTCACTGTTACTAAAATAACTCATGTGCAAGGAAATAGGACTCAGAGCCACTATAGTTCCCACTAGTCAAATTTCCAGCAAAAAAAAAAAAAAAAAAAAAAAACCAGATGGCTGCTTACATGTATATGGGCAGACAACTGGATACTTAAGACATACAAAAACTAACAGTAAGAACTGCTACATCTGTAGGCGGCAATGGGTGGGGGTGTGTGTGGAGGGGAATTAAATCACCAAGCCTGTGAAAGTCGGACTCTTAGAAGGTGTTTATCATGCCTGTGACACAACATATATGCAGGGAGGGAAAATCCTACTTCTCTCCACCTTTTAATGTCCTGCAGGGTCTCCCACCATGGGATGATACACTGTGTAGGATGATCCAGTATTCGAGAGCACAAAGAAGGGCAGAGAGTAAAGAATCTACTGGGCCAGGGTGGCAAGCAACCAGCATAAAATATATAAAAGACATTTACAAAGAACAATTAGAGCAAGGAGTAGAGAGAAAAGTAATATCAAAGTTCAGATATAGGGAAGAATATAAACCTAAGTATAGTTTATGAGAGTGTATATCATATTGAGAATTGTCAAGAATCTGAAATGGTAAGAATACTGGACAATTAGTGGAATATGGGGCTGGAAAGGTAAAACAGAACAAGATTATAGAGCAGAGATCAGCAAACTATGATGTGCAATCCAAATCTAACTTACTATCATCTGTTTTTGTAAACTTTTACTAAAACACAGCCATATCCATTTATTGCTTTCAAGCTACAATAGCTGAGTTGAACAGAATAGTTGAATAATTGCAAGAGAGAGAGAATATGGCCCACAAAATCAAAAATATTTACTATCTGGGCCTTAACACATCCCTGCTACTAAGGAAAAAGAAAAAAAAATACCTTAGAATGACATATAAAGAGCTTGGAGAACCTGCAAGTGATGGATAAGCTGTCATCATCTCAACAATTCAGAGCCCAAATGGAAATTATAAATCAACTATAAAAAGGAGTAGCAATTCATAACCTCTAAGAAAACATTTTGGAAATTAACCTTCATCAGCTCTAACATCACTGCATACTTATGCCAATCAAGTCTGTGTGCCATGAGACTGATATCAAATGTTCTTATCTCTGTAACTTTTCAAGTATTTCTCTCATTTTAAAGTAAATACAAAAAAGTAAATAATACTTCAAAGTTTACCTTGAGAGTATTTTCTTCTGGAATATCATCCAACATTTTTTTCTTTATTTGATTTTGTTGAAAACTGGGTTTAAATGCTTGCAATGTACTATTTTTATCTACATCTCTCATTGTAGAGACAGACATTTTTGATGTATGTATTTGTCCGAGTACTTCAGTTTCTCTTCGGTAAGGTAAGTCAGGAGGTTCAGATAGTCTTAATTGCTTCTGTTGCTGGGATCCCAAGCTCACTGGACAAGAATTTATTCCTTCACTTGCCATTAGATTTGTTCTTTTGTACTGAGGTCTAAATTCATTTCTATCCCAAGTTTTCAAGCTGGTATTTTTATTGCCATCTCTGACGCTATAATAGTTTAAAAGAAAAAAAAAGTTTTTGTTTCTATATACTTTTCCTTAATTAAAAGAAAACTAATGAAAATTTGCATTTATGTGATAATTTATGGTTTATAAACAACTTAGTAAGTACTAACTTGCTAACACGTACATTACTAACACATACTAACACATAACACTAACATATTGCACATGAGAAAACTGTGTTTTTGAGGAAGTAGTTAGTATTTGCCCAGAGTCATACAGCAAATTACTGACAAGCTAAACCCAACTCTTGCCTCCAAACTCAGAGACCAGTGGCATAAAATATATTTTTTAAGATATGTATTTTCATATACTAACTGTTGTATACCAGGAGTAAGATTTTGAAGGCTGCTATTTGCTTCTTTATACATTTATTTTTTAATGTTCTAAAAGTGAAAAGTTTTTAAAAGGATGAATATATGCAAAACAGATTATTCTTTAACAAAAAAAATGGATAGCTTTACTATGCAGTTTGAAAGTCCTACATTAATTTGTTCTAGTATTTTACTAGCTACATTAACCTAAGTGAGTTGTTTTCACCTGGTCAGAACTTGACACTAATGAGACCAAAATCAAAAGCATAATTTCTGAGCAGACTAATTAAGAATTCCACTGGAAAAACCTAGTAGAAGTCACAAATCACTTTTTCTGAATAATTTTCCGAGAAAAAGCATAAGAGGAAAAATAATAAAAACCATCCCCTGTAATAGAAAAAAATTCAAAAAAGATCTATATTCCCTAGTGACCAAAACCAAGTCTAGATTGTACAGGACCTGAAGCTTGTAAAATCTGGAAAGACTTCTTAGATAAATTTAATGTAAAATTAGGTAAGAAAATGAGAAAAGAAATCAGAAATAATTACAAAGCTTTATTTTTTATAAAGACCATAAATACCACAATAGCCAGGGGAAATTATAGTAACAACAATCATTAATAGTAACTAATTATTTTAACTTTATTATTATTATTATAAGGTAAACTGCCTGATAAGCAGCTATAAAACTTTTTCCTACATTGATCACCTCTTTATATAACAGTTTTATTTCCCATAGAAAGAAAAGATACAAAACTTTGTCCTTCCTCTTGTAACTATGGAAATTACTTTTATTATTCATTGTCTTTACAAGTTTCTTCCACAACTCCTTACTGATAACAACACTTGTGCAACTTTTTCCAATATTTTGGCCCAGGGGGTCCTCCTAGCATAGAGACAAGCCCTGGGAAACTCTGATCTTGCTGGATGTGCAGCCAACCCCATTGAGTCAGGTCCTCAAATCCCAGCCTGAATATGCACCCTAAGTTGTAGTGGTCCTGAGGAGGGCAGGGATCAGTCTCTCCCTCAGTCCTGCCCCATGTCCACATGCTCAGTGAAATCCCAAAGAACAAGCTGTTGTTGGGCAAGCTGGATGTAAAGGTAAAAGTGACCCATTAGTTATGCCTACAGTCTCAACATCAGAATATAGGGGTGACTCCTAGCACTTCACAAGGCCTACACTGTGTTCTAACTGCCATTTTCTTCTCTGCCTCATGGAAGGGGACATGCCTTTGAAGGGGAACAGTGCAATGAAAGCCCTGAAATTTAGGTGTCATTAATTTCATGGTTAAATCTCTGCAAATGAAAACTTAAAGACTTGCATATATAACAGATCTATACTCAACCACTCACAGTACAGAGCAGTAGGAAAGAAAGTAACAGCTGCTTAAGTATAGTAACATATGAAGTCAGTCAAAATTTAATACATAGGTATCAGTTTCCATATTTCATTTATGTATCTACTGTAATTTATTTAGTCATTCCCTCGGATTTTCATTTAGATTGTTTCCAATTATTCATTACTGTAAAGAGTGTGCCGGTGAGTATCTTTATACAAAGATTTTTATCTGTGTGCAAAGCATTTTTTTTTGTTATTTCCCAAAATTAGAATTAGTATTTCCATTTAAATATAATTTTTAAAATTCTATTATTTTTACAATTAAAACCAAAAATATTACAGAATAAAAATTCCATTAAAAACAATTTAGGGCCCTCCCTGGTGGCGCAGCGG